TCTTACGAAATTTTCCCTACCTAAAGCAATAAAATATTTTATTTCTTATAATAAATTCTCATTTAGGTAAAGGATTTCATTCTACCCTCTAAATTAGTATTATAACCATCTTCTCCAAAAATTCAGGTAATAGCCATCTGGTGGACTCAAACGGAAACAAGTGCCAAACGTTTCAGCGCTGAAAATGTCAGAACCACTGCTATGTGCAAGATGCTATTTTAGATGATTCGGACACGATCAACAAGATGGAGTTTGATTTAGTTATGCTTATAATAAGAAAGATATAGGTACATGAGTGTTTATAAATAGTAATAATTATACAACACCAGTGCCCTAAACACGAAAAATATCGTTCACGATATGGTATGGTATCGAAACTTTACAATCTGCTCAGGAGTCATTCATGCTCAAGGCATAGAACAATAATTATAATAACTGTTGTTGTGTGTTTAAGTACTATCTAATTTATATTAGGCTAATAATTTTGTGAAAGTCAGGATATCTATTGACTGCTCGATATTAGGAACAAATTACGGGATTAAATTAAACTTCATAGTGTGCTTAAATCGTGTATTACAAACTTAGTGAATAAAAAAACTTTGGGTTATAATATAATATGGCATACAAATTGCACTTACAATCTCGGTGTAGGTATCACTTTTTAAATATACAAACAGTTGAATTGGTACACGAAGAAATCAACAACTGCAAATCACACAAAAGTAACTATAACAATAAATGCATGTTTTAAATGACTTTAGAGTACAATAAATTTCAATACAATACTTACACGTACTTGTAGCCAAGTAACAACAAAGCGTTGCCCCCGAGCAGGGCAGGATGTATCATTTGAGACGGTAACAGAACGCATCCTGTCATTAGAATGGATATAGACTTCACACGCCTTCAAGATAAAATTTTATACAAATCAAAAATGAATGCATGTGAGTCGTCTCTCTAATCTCCAATGTCTGACATAGCTTGTCGAAATATCTTAGTAGTGGAAAGTATGAGTTTAGTTTACAAGGAAACTCGCGGGTCTTACATATGTAGACCCTCAACATTGTGACCCCTCTCAAGTATGGACGATGATCAGATTTTATGATTCAACTGAGCCAATAAAGGCTTGAATCTGAGCTTGACTTTGAATTGTATTTTAGACGTTATTTTAAAATTACGAGTCTCATCGTTTGCTTTGCCAGACATCGTCTCTGAACTATCGGTTCGGCCTGATCGCCATCGTGCAAGCGTTGATTTGGCCGAACCTTAAGAGCTGATCACCTACACTAAGATCATATTATTCAGCGTGAAACTGATCTTATTCGTAATACTACATTCATATCACAATTTCAAACCTTCACTAGAAGATTTTACCAAATAATAAGTTAAATATTTACATCGCTTTTTAAATGAAAAAAATATTGCTCGATTTTTATGTTGTGGCAAACCGAATACACAAAATTTATAAACAATGACTAAATGGCCATTTTAAGACTAATTACAAATATGACATTTAAATAGGTAGGTAGACATTAAAGCATATAGGGATTTTAAAATAAATATATGTTACGGTCAAAGTGATAAATGTGAAAATTATGAATAATCGCCGGTTATTATGAATAATTACCGCATGATTTGGTAAATGTGATTAATATGAGGTCATTTATGTGTGTATAAAACTAAATAGGCGGCTTAGGGGTGGCCCAAGGGCCACCCCCGCCGCACCTTAACCTATTTTTCACTTTAAATCAAAACATTATGTTATAGGCATCATGGAAAAGTAATATTATGCAAAAAACATTCCAAACTCATTATGCCAAATTATACTAATATATGATATCAAAACGTTCAAAAGTTTGGCTGTACACGAGCACGTACACAAGATGTTGTTCTCTTTTATGAAATTTGTTAGTACTAAGGTTGAATTATTAAATAATCACTGTTAAATGTGATTAATTTATCACTTTCACCGCGACTGTCGGGAATTATTCATAATAACCGGTTATTATTAATAATTTTCAATTTATCACATTAACCGTAACATATACATACTTGTAAAGGCTTCGGCAGACAGCGGGCAGGTCGGGTATTCGCGGGCCCTTAATTACAGATCGAGAATAGTTTAAATTTTCAATAATGTAATAGGCAGACCGCTTGTTTCAGCGAGTTTTAACCCGCACTAGGCATGCCAGAAGTGTACCAAAGCCTTTCGAATGTGGTTATCATATAATATAATATAAAGATGATAATAATTAAGAAAACAGTTTAAGAGATTTCAAATATTTCAAACCTAACAAACAAATGCACAGCCTGGAAAAGTAAATCAATAAATTTTAATGATTATAAGTTATAACAGTCATCAAATATTTTAAAGGCACAATCTTTTAATTTATTTATGACTTCAAGAGATCCCTAACTCTAAAGACTTGATTTTCTATAACCTTAGAATACATGTCACATACAAAGAAAAAACGTGGAAAAAGCAATTGATTTCACTCAATATGGTGGGGACAATAAGAAAGTTAGTACTTCTGAGTAATTCGTTTTGCAGGAAAATATTTTATAGTAGCGGTGTTAACAAGTAGTTACAGTAAAATTAATTCTTGATTGATTAAACAAAAAGAAAAAACGTAAACATAACTTTGACGAGAGTGGAAGCGGATATTACATAGTATTAAGTGCGCTTATCGGCAAAACGAAATATGCGAATACTATAAACAACTCCAAAATTAATAATGTTGGTAAAAACAGGAAATGGGACTTGTCCTACGACACTTTTCTACCACTGCAACTCCTGTATAGCCAGCGTGGCCTTCAACTAAACCCAACCAGTAACGGTTGGAAACAGGAAGGAAGGATAAAAACAGGAAAATAAACATACACTCGCTTCAATACCCAAAATAAATGAATAATCCATAAAAACAAGTAATATGGAGCATTCCACGCGAAGCGGACAGGTAAAAAAAGTCGATGTTTCCGATTTCAGTAATATTTGAGTATGTTCTACCTATACATATTATTGATACGTGTACCAAATATTTTTGTTATATAATGACTAGTTTAAGAGTTATGGGTCTTCGAAGTTTTCGACAACCGGTTGGCATGCAGTACTTCAAAGCCGATTATGGAGTCATAAAATTATTTATTAAAATAATTAAACCACGGGATTTATTACTTCATTTACCGTGCTTTTTAACTGTATTTTTGGAAACGAAAAAAAAATTATTTTTTCCTAAAAAAAATGCAAATTAATTTTTTTTCCTTGATTTTCACAAAGTTCGACCCTTTCGATTTTTTTAATTTTTTTTATTTAAATAGCTAATATTGTGTAGAACATTCATGCCAACTTTCAAAGTGGGCGTGGAAGTGGATTCGGAGCTAGACTGAAAATACTGCCGAAGGGTGGCGTCCAGCGCCGCGCCGTCGCGCTGCCGCGCCTGAAGCCCGCCGCCTGTGCGCGTTTAGTGAAACTGACAAGCAAATAAAATCACTTTTGACGGAATGTTTTGTAGATTTTTAATAACACCAAGACATTTTTAATACCTATTAAATACTAAAATACGTTATAAAATAAAGTAGTAGTAGTAAATAAAGTTGCGTTTTTCCGTATCGTGAAAAATAAATTACATTACTCGTAACTGTGAATATTTCCTAACAAAAATAGAATGAGCTGTTATTTTTATACCTTTCGAGTTACAAAAGGCGATTATGTGGGAGGCAGACGGTCGTCAGTGCTTTCATCCTATTCCTATGAAATTAAGTGGCTCATAATAATTTTTAGATATAATGAATACTAGACCTTTCATTCTATCTAGTCTTTTGAAAGGTCGTAAATTATTGGTAATTAGAAGATATTGTGGACCGGATTAATAGATCCACCAGTTAATTTAGGTCCGGACTAATACCCAGAACCGAACCGAACCGGCCGTGCCGCCCGGCATGTGCGTATACGCCATAACTAAGCTTCTGTAGTACATGTACTATGTACTAATAGGAAGCAATTCCTTTAATTAAGTGAACGAGAACGAACTATTCCGTCTTGGTCGTTCAAATCGGTCTTTTAGTTCACTTTAGTACAGCCGATCACTAATGAATAGGTGTGAACGAGACGTGAAATTGGTGACAACCGCGCGTGAGCGAGATGGATTCGGCTCTGTGAGTGTGTAGCGAGTATTTTTCGATATTGGACCATAAAAGCATATGAGTAAAGACTTTTTTCCTTCGATCTACCTAATAGAATCAGTGTACTAAAATGTGCTAGTTAATAGTACTAGAAGACCGAACAAGTTCATTTGACCGATTTTCTGAGTTCGGAGCGATCCTTTCAGTGTCCGAGTAAGAACAAGCCTGGCCATAACGTATTTTTTAGTATTTAATAGGTACTAAAAATGTATTGGTTGGTGTTATTAAAAATCTACAAAACATTCCGTCAAAAGTGATTTTATTTGCTTGTCAGTTTCACTAAACGCGCACAGGCGGCGGGCTTCAGGCGCGGCAGCGCGACGGCGCGGCGCTGGACGCCACCCTTCGGTAGTATTTTCAGTCTAGCTCCGAATCCACTTCCACGCCCACTTTGAAAGTTGGCATGAATGTTCTACACAATATTAGCTATTTAAATAAAAAAAATTAAAAAAATCGAAAGGGTCGAACTTTGTGAAAATTAAGGAAAAAAAAATAATTTGCATTTTTTATAAGAAAAAATAATTTTTTTTTCGTTTCCAAAAATACCGTTAAAAAGCACCGTAAATGAAGTAATAAATCCCGTGGTTTAATTATTTTAATATATAATTTTATGACTCCATAATCGGCTTTGAAGTACTGCATGCCAACCTGTTGTCGAAAACTTCGAAGACCCATAACTCTTAAACTAGTCATTATATTACAAAAATATTTGGTACACGTATCAATAGTAAGTATAGGTAGAACATACTCAAATATTACTGAAATCGCAAACATCGACATTTTTTACCTGCCCGCTTCGCGTGGAATGCCCCATATGTTAGTTCTGCTTCTGATTCATTAGTTTGTCCAATGCAATCGCTAATTTACCGAGTCTTTGTATCAATAGGTTACTACGCAGTTACTGCGTAGTTGTAATAATTTGTCGTATCAGATGTCACATACCATTTAGCTTAACGAATGTCGTTATTGCAATGCAGACCTTATGGCAATTTTAGAAGGTTCAACCTTTGCCTTCGTTTTCGAATCAGATAATATCAAGATATAATAATAATGCATAATATTATTTTTATACAGTTAGTAACTATCAGTTACCTATACACAAGAGATAAATATAAATCATTAGTCAGTTGGGGCATAATTTATACTTAATTTTCTTTATATTCCAAATACAGGCATTTAAATACAATAAAATTAATCAAAAAAGGTCCCTTAGTAAGAGCACATACAGAACACACGCGTGGCATAAGACCGCCCATTTCGTGGTTGTCACTTGCGCAGTGCGGTAAAAAAACGTGAGCAAATATTGCGCCATGATTATACATATTACAATCATTATACACATATTAAATTTATTGCTCTTGTTTTTATTGTGTAACCACTTTGTGTGTTCTCAGGCTGAGGTACCTAAACAGCCTTTAACTGATCAAATGATTATGACATTGTATATTCCTTTAGTGCTTTATCCCTTTGGAGCAAAAATAAAGTTTGAGTCTAATACCTTGTGCTTTCTGTAGACTTCAACATTGTCAATTGCTGGACACCTGAAAATTACAATAACATCGATTACAATATATGCTGCACAGCAGAACACATTAATATACAAATTGAGTTTATCTGAAAACTGCATATCTCCAAATACTGATAAGATAGTAAAAGTGACTAATGCAGAAGCTAGTTATGGCTGTTCATAGTGTTCATTTATAAATTTGTACCTATTTGTAAACATTAATGATTATGAAGAATACAAACTTACAAGATCAGTCTTCCAGGTCATGCCAGTCGAACCCTTATAACTCTTTCGACGTCACCTCTACACAATGGACAGTTTTCAATTTCCTTTTGTGAACAAAGTAGGCAGCAACACATGTGTCCACATGGAACAAATACTACCTCGCATTTTGCATCCATACAAACGACACACTCCGACTCATATGTGGTGTCATCACTGTCACCAGCAGTGACAACTCCACTACAATTCTGTTCAGTAACGCTCGGTTCAAGAGGTGCACTAGGGGTAGGTGCATCTGGTACATCATTCATCTTCTCATATTTGTTTGTATTCTGATTCTTTGCTTGAACATACTCATTGATTGCCCTCAAAATACCTTCTCTATCAACAAGTAAAGAAATCCCAGTCTCTTTCAATTTCTCATCGTCAATGTCCAACAAAGATCCCTCTGAAAACAAAAATTTCACCAAAAATGGCAAACAGTGTATAACTCCTTCTTGCAACAAATAGTTGGCTAAAACCGGATCCAAGTGTTTGCCCACATCCAGTAAAGTTCTTGGGGCAGAATCCATCAACTTTTGGTAATTCTTCAACCAAAAATCTGTTGATTTTGCATCAGTTTCGTTTTCCATTTCTCTTACTGTGACAATAAGTTGTTTTCTTCTTTGTGTCTGCTGATCCAAGAGATCATCTAACAGAGTTACCATTTGAACTCTTTGCTGCATCAGTTCATTGTAATTGTAATTTATCTGCAATTTTTTCTTCTCTTGTTCTATTGTACTCAGTCTGGCTAAATGTGATGAAATCAATGCTATTTCTTCATTTAAACTCCAACTTTTTGCATCAACTCTCTCAATTAATGAAGCAACAGCTGCCTTTTGGACATCCTGATCTTCCAGTAGTTGTTCAACCAAGGCAGTACGGGACTGATCTTTTGCTTTTAATAAATCCTGCAATTTTTCTGTACCCTCCATATCTTGCAGTAGCAAACTTTCTTTTACATTACTTTGACTGTCTTCATAGTGTTTTTTAGAGTTTTGAATTGTGTAATCTTCCTCTATTAGCATTTCCATTGCTTTTAAAACATCAGATTTTTTAATATTATCATAATTTTGTCTAGCTATTTCAAGTAATCTTTCATGTTCAGACTGTTCATATGCAAGCTGTTGTTGTAATATTTCTGGCTTCAAAAACTCAGACTGTATAAAGTTTTTAACTAAACATTCAATTTCTTCCTCATCTTTTTGAATTGCTTTTAATAATCTTTGCCTTTCTATTTCTTTAGATTCATGAACTTTTGCTATTTCACTGTCTAATTCTTGCTGTTCTTGCAAAACTTTTGAAAGGAATCTTTCCCTCTGCTGTTTAGCAGCTTCATGAAATTTGTTTTCTTGCTCAATAATAGCAGCTTCTTGCTCTTCCCATGTAGCAGTGCTATACTTTACAAATGGATCTATGGTCACGCTTGGAACCTGTATAGTAGTTAGGTCCGACTCCATTGGTAAAGGAGGAGTATATTCTACCTCTAATTTTTTGCAAAGAAATTTCATAATTTCTGGAGTACCAAGGCAAATAACATGTGGTGGAGGGAAAATAAAATAGTCTGAATCCAACTCGATAGTTACAATATTTGATGCTAGACATAATTCTGGACAAAGTTCGTTCAATTCTTCATTTTTATTGATATTTAACTTTCTCAGTCTCTTTAACTTGCCAAGTGCAGGAGTCAACTTTTTTAGTCTATTTTTTGAAATATCTATTATTTTCAAATTTTGCAAGTATTCTATGTTATCTGGTATGAACTCCAAATAGTTATTATGGACATGTAATTCAGTCAAATTTACTAAAAATTTAATATCATTAGGCAACTTTGAGAATTTATTGCAACTTAAATTGAGGACTTTGATAAGATACAAGTCTGATAACAAGCCGCCTTCATCCAACGAATGCAGGCGGTTCCCTTGTAAATATAAATATTCTTTTCTGTACACTTTGCAGATTGAAAAAATTCCAGAAGGGACTTGTCGTAGTTCGCAATCTGTCAAATCGAAGTGCGGTTCTGGAGACTCTTTAGCTATGTAAAGTTTCCTCTCCAGCTTACCTCGTGAGTCACTAGTATTAGAATTCTTACCAAACAACAACATAGTCGTTTGATTTACGCACGATACAGCACAACCCATTAAATTATCAAAACAATAATCCGCACAGAATAACCTCTCTGTCACCGATTCAAAAATAACATTGCTGTAAACCTAGCTAAGGTTTATGCACTTAATTAAATGCTAGGGTCTTGATTATCACAATCATTTCGATAAGCTGATTCAATTCATTTTCAATTCGTCACAATCACGGGGTGGAAACGCCATAGAGTTTGACAGCTCCATAGAGAGTGAATTTTTTTGACAGTTCCGAGAGGAAGTGACTTTTTTTATAGTTGTCTTCTGTATGCGACAGTGGTCTTTTGCATGTTAGAAACCTTAGAAACCTTTTCGAATTACAACTTCAGCTTTTATTCATAAATTATTTTATTGAATCTATGTGATTTCTATAAATTAAATGGTTATTTAAAAGTATAATAATTCAAAGTCGTAATTTTCACTTTAATCACTTTAGTTCCGTCTCAAGTCTACAACTGTGACATTATTAAAAAAAAAAATAACGTCAAAAATTTTTCATCGAAAAAACGTGTTTTTCANTTAAACTATCCCAACTATAATATTATAAATGCGAAAGTAACTCTGTCTGTCTGTCTGTCTGTCTGTCTGTCTGTCTGTCTGTTACGCTTTCCCGCTTAAACCTCGCAACCGATTTTGATGAAATTTGGCATAGAGATAGTTTGAGTCCCGGGAAAGAACATAGGATAGTTTTTATCCCGGTTTTTGAAACAGAGACGCGCGCGATAAAGTTTTTCTGTGACAGACAAAATTCCACGCGGGCGAAGCCGCGGGCGGAAAGCTAGATTTACTATAAGTCTTAACGCAACATATTTTATATGAGTTACATACAAATGTCAATCCGTGAGTACATAATGTAATAACTAAAACAATGTACTGTTATCACAACAGTAACTGTAATCTTTTAAAATCCAGTAGTTTTATTGCTTATTGATTTTCGTAAACAAAATATTTCATGTTATATTTCATCAATAAAGTTTTATTTTATACTTCAACAGTTTTATTTTTAAACACATTACATGAAACGGAACGGATCATAAAAAAAGTATGAGAGGTATATATTTAATCTGTGGGCGGCAGACGCCATATTGTTTACAGCGCCACCTGCTGGACAATCTAGCTCGGTACCAGTTTGTTTATCGTTCAACAAATACTAGGGCCGTTTCCTATCTGTCTTTAGACATACTCTCTAATCTGTGGTCACAATCGTCACTGTTGTTGTGTTGTCAAAATAATGACAATTTGAGGTTTTGGCTGTCAGTTGTCAGTGTCAAACTGATTTTTTTTACGGAAAATACAAAGGCATTATACCATACAGCGAACTCTTCAGGTTTTATTTAATATTTTCAGTTATACTTATAATAATCTTAAAATGACTCTAGTTAGATATATTGGATCATTTAAATTTATGTTTATTAAATACCGGTGAGCCGACGCGACGGACATTACCTAACGAAGGTATTAGTATACCAGATTTATCTATTTGCACACCCAATTTATCTTCTTCTTTAACCTGGACAACATTAAGCTCGTCATTCGGAAGTGATCACTTTCCTGTTGTAATTACATTTCCTAATGAAGTAGGTAAAACATCAGAAAGGCGCCCACCTCGTATGAAGTATAGGTTAGCTGATGCAAATTGGTATGCATTCCAACAGGAAGTTCAACGCCAGATCCCCTCGTTAAGTACCTAATGTCTTTAGTAGTAATCATTCAGAGTGCGCGGAAGCAATCTAAACAATTAAAAAGCAATTAAAACAGCTGATGAAATGTTTGCCACTAAAAACCATAATTCAAATAAATAGTTAACTAATGTTGACCTGGACGCTTTGCTTTCCCGCCAAAAAATCCATCCTTAAAAGTTGTAAGTTGTAATCTATGGTTGTAATGTAATGTAGATCGAGCTTTTGAAACGGCACGAGCAGCAGCAGTACTTAGTAAGATTGAAGGAACCATTTGTAAGAGTAGTGATTTTAGTTTGATTCATGCCATCATTTTAATGTATTTTTAATAAATTTTAATACAGTACAAGTATTAACCGTAAGTAGATTAGGGTTGCCTTGCCTTACTCATTCCATCCAGGTTTGTACGGATACCTATGCTTATATTTTATAAGCTAATTTACTTCAGCACTGGAGAAAATATTAAGCGTGTAAAATTGTTGAAATAAAATGCAGTCTTTATGGATAAAACAAATTTATTATAAAAGTATCTACTTAAATACAACTAACAGTCTTTACTTTTAGGTAACTTGCCTTTTCCAAATTATTGATGGTGAATCATTAATTTTGGAGATAGATTATCTAATTAAATTGGACCGTCAGCAGTAGGTACCGTCTCATCTGTGGTAGGTAAGTAGGTACAGCTTCTTCTTATCGTACTGATGGAGAACGAATTATTTTTACAACTTAGATTAATAAAGTTTTACAAGACCAAAACTCTACCCTTCGGCACTTCGGGCAGCGTTCCGTGTAGAGCTCATGGCCATAAAACAAGTAACTACTTAAATCTAATGCAAAAAAAAATTGCTAAAGTTACAAATAATCAATATTTTTGACAGAGCACCTTACATTTATAATTAAATTTAATTATTTAATTTATATATTAATAATAATTAATTATTATAAATTCATTGAGTGGTTGCTTACTTATGATTAAATTACGTTATTTTAGCGCTAGACTTAAGTACCTTTAAAAACAGGTAGGTACCTAGTTTACCTAATTTATCTCTGAGAAGGTGGACTTGTTTGTACATTGTGGGACTACTACTTATCTATTATCTTCATTTGATTCACTGTCTTTTGATTGGTAATGTTTGTGTGGGTAATATTCAATTAATTTTTCACTGTCAACTTTATACCAATTGTTAGTAAGAGGCACACGCGCACCAAACAGGGAATATGGCTGCTTCAGCTGTGGAGAAAAGGAACCACTATATTTGGATGTGTTATCGGCTTCTTGTTCCGTGCTCCCTGATTGTTCTTCTTCTATTACGATATTTTGATGAGAACCTACAGGAGGCGTACCGTAATTATATGACTCTCTGTCATAATCAACAGGGTTACGCTTCAAATAATCCTTTTGATACCAATTTTCGTATGTTGGTACTGGTACGCCAAACAAGGCATATTTTCTTTTCAATTCATTGTCGTTTTCATGCACGGAGGGATCGTAAAGTCTGCTATAATTATGTTTATCTTTTAAATTTTCGTAACGTGCATATTCAGGTGTTTTAATTTCAAGTGATCCGTTTGAGAAATGCTGGTGGACTTTAAATGGATATGCCGTGCGGTATAACGCTTCTTTAACAGTGGGATCATTATTATGTTCATTATTTGGTATAAATTCATACATTTCCTTCGGATTTTGTAACCTTTCGAATTTCTTTTGCGGTTCTTCTGAATACAATGATGCGGGACCATTAATATAAAGGCTTTTTATGTATTCTGATGTTTCTTTGTCCTTTACATCTTCTTTTGAATGCGTATGATCAATGAAATCTTCTGCTATTTTTGGTAGTGATGTAGGGTCTGCAAATTCACTGTAGTCAGTATTTACTTTATAGGCAGTCAGGTCCGGTACGTGTGTATGATAGACGTGTGTCTTTAATATCTTTTCTAAACGCTTAAAAGCATCATTTAAGTCTTTATCATCAGTTTCTGACGATGTTGCCTCTTTTTCATTTTGTGACGGTGCTGGATTTTTATTTTCGTCGCTTATATCAGTTGTTGGTTTCATATCATTGGCTATATTCTTGGGACTATTATCATTCGTGCCATCTGGTGTATGGAAACTATTTAGATCTTGTACTTCCTTAAACCCTTGACTTGCGTAATCTTCTTTGTATGGTGTATACAAGTCGGCTATTCGTTTTCCCGATCCGTAGCCTGGGATTTCCTTCGGCGACAAGACTTGCTGCGTTTTACTAAAATAATCAAACATAGGAAATGCTGGCTTATTAATATTATAGGTCTCTGGAGCAGGAAGCAACTTTATAACGACTGTTTTACCTTGATGGTATCCGATACCGTGACCATCGAAGGGCTTATTCTTTGGCCTCTTCTTTTTGATCGTTGCCCTGTGCGTTGTGCTCTCTTCTTCGTCATTGTTGCCAGAGTCAGCATCGCAGTACATTTTATTCAGCTTCTGAGTGTCTTTGTCAGAGAGTCCTACTCTTTGTCCGATTTGAGCGCCACCCTGAAATTATAAACAAATAATAGCGTAGTAGTAGACCAGTTATTCAACTTAGAGATACATTATTATCACAATGGATCCGCAAAAAATACCTGTTTGGGCACGATGGTGTCTTGCCCGTTGGAGGAGAAAGCACGTTTGCTGTAGTGCAGGACACTATCGTAATCATATCCCACGCCAAAGTCAGACACGGAGAACGCATTATATTTGCGGAAATTGTGCCGCGCCGCTGAAAACCAATAATAATTCTGTTAAATTAACCCTTAAGTAACATCCTTATTTTTGGTTACACATTGAACACCCTGGGGTAAAAAAATAATCCCAAGCGGAAATTGAAAAAAATTAAGTAAATATTTAAAATCAATTCAATTTGTGATTTATATGTATTAGCGGGCTCACTAAATTATACGATTGCTTTAAAAAATCAATGATAACAAAAAACAAAGAATTTTTCATTTGCAACTAATAGGCTCCACAATGGTCTTCTAGAAAAATCTTGGAAAGTTATTATGGGAACCAAAAACTTACACAAATCGGACATTGAATAGATGCTCTATACACATTTTAAACTCAAAGTTAAATAAAATGAAAATTACTGGACTTATAACAAAGCAAAATAAAAAACTTGTTTTTTTATAAAATTATGAGAAATATTTTTCATTTCATTTTATTCCTAATTATTATTTTCAAAACACATCAAACACCCTGAATTATTACGTAATTATCAATTTCGAGCTCTATTTCTGTGTCGAATTTATGAACGCTCTGTTCTGTCTGAGGGGATGTCTTCAAAGTTCGAAAAGTATCATGTAAATCAGGCTTTATTTATCTCTCTCCATTCTCGAGACAACTGTCTACTTGATATTTATTAAATATTTACTCATTTTGTTTAAATATTATAAAAACCTATTAATAACATGTTAGGTGATGATAAATTAAGGCATGCGTAACTAACACCCTGGGGTAAATTTCTACC